TATCCTGTGATATGCCCTAATTTGAATATCGTGTTTGAATTGCACAGACAGACGCTTGGTGGCCGGTTTAGCTTGCTACGTGAGCATTGTTTGTTGCTCAGTCGTTGGTGTTCTCACTACCGTTAGTGGGTTGAAGCAGTCGTGGGTCTCCGACACAACAATTTGCAAGGCATGTTCAATCACAATTACATTAAAATTATTCACTCAAAACAAGCTAAAACGTAAACGTTCAACACACTCCGTCAGCGAGCCGGGTTACAATTATCGAACGCCGACCGGTCCACGGCGATACATAGGTTGGGAGTCACTGCCGTAGAGTGCACCGGCTCGCTATACCTCCATATTTCACGAGATCATCTGTTTGTATTGTAATCCCTTCGCAACAAGTTAGTACACGTCTGCGTACTTGCGAAACATGAAGGAAAGTAATATACCATTTTCACTTTAAACTGGACATTGCAGGCTTGTAGGCATTAATTATGTTCCTTGCCGTACTCGCGTTAACACCGGCGACTTCAGCGGCTTCCCGAGTTGTTTTGCCTTCTACGAGCACAAGTTTTGTGAGAATTTCTCTTTGCACAAATGATGTTCGCCTGCAGTGCCGTCGCGTCGGACACCAACTCTCCTATTTCTCGTCACTCATTTGGGTCGTTTTCTGCGGCACGGAGCTAATAAAGCTAAGTTGTGTTGAGTGGAACCATTATCGTATGCTCGGCTCCAATAGGTGTACCGCTGCACCCAGACAAAACACACGAATTCCTAATGGGGGGGGGTGTAGGGGAAAATAGGTCACCGATTTTGACCGAGGCGAACGGCACTCATGTCAAGAGAAGGGCTTACACAATCACCCGCTACGTACGCAGTTCGGTTACATTATCGTGACCACAATGTGGCCTGAACATCGTGTAATCGGCCCACTCCTCAGTAGTTGATATGTTGCAACAATAGGCTATAGATCTAGACTGGTTTTGCTGGGGGTCATTACAGCCTACGCTGATACAATAACGTGGCAGTTGCGAAAGGTAATAGAGAGACGGGCGAAACTGGGACACCGCCTACCTGCTTCATTCGACATGGTCCCATTGACCGAATCGGACAAGGTTCCCTCTAATGAGAATAACGGTGCACATTGAGATTGCGCATCGCAATCCACTCACAAAATGATTGATACACAATTACGATTCGGACGTCCGATTTTCCAATTGTCACACACCTACACAGGTTGATGCGTATGGGCACTGCACACCAACTAGGCAAATGTCAATGGGGAGAGGGGAGCGTAGTTCAGAACTTCGGTCGCTGCTCACGATCAAGCAAATGTTTTACAGTGTAGCCCGCTGCTTACACACTGCCGGTGTATTAGCGTCATCACAATGTATATTCTGAACATCATTCAGCAGTCTTACTGATCGTTTCTTACAAACAAATTGGCGAGTTGCTACTTAGGTTGTAACGTGTCAAACTTGTTTTGCAAAATGTCCAGTTTGGTTTGCAAAATGTCCAGTTTGGTTTGCAAAATGTACAATGTGGTTTGCAAAATGTCCAATGTGGTTTGAAAAATGTCCAAGTTAAAGTGAAAATGGTATATAAGTCACCGTTTAACATATCCTTTGAAAGGGAATTGCAAGGCTGCAATCAAACATATAACACATGCCTCCTTCATCGCTCCATTGGTGATTATATCATTCCACCCGGGAGCTGTTCTGTGTGCCGCGATCAGATTTGACTTGTGTGGTTCGTATGGGGGCGAATTGTCTGGAATATGATTACCTTCTACCCCACGTTCAACTTAGACCTGTGGATCCGTCACAAAAGTGCTATTTCATCGCATAAATAAAGAAGTTACGTGTAGTGATTGCTATCCATTCTGCTGCGACGGAGATCGTTCCGCTCCTTATGTTACGGACAACTTGACTTCGAGGTCAAACGGTAGCTTCTACTGCGTCTTCAACTATCCGACCGAACTAGCCTGAATACCCACCAAAATGAGACAACCTATCTGCGCATCTTTTGTAGAGTATCGTTTTAGTGTCAGGCCAACGTTCTTCACTGTTGTCCTGCGTGCATCATTTCCGCCCTAGCCTCTCTGACATCTCCTTTGCTCACTTACAAAAAGGGGCTTGACTCCTCTTCAGGCCTATACCCGACGTTCTGAGTGCACGCGTTTCCCTTCCCTCAGGGACTGTGCGCGCTCCGATGGATGTCTCAGGCACCACCATTGTCCAGTGAGGGCGCGCGGCGCACTATGCACAGGCTGAGCTCCGTTTAGTAGTCTCAATTGTCGTCCATTTGAGTTGGACCATGCTAGTCTCACGCAAGTTTCACTGTTTTCCTACCCAGCTCCGAAAGCGTGAGTATTCTGCATGTGACTGTTTTCAGTCGCTACGCTATACCGAATTCTATTGGCTGGTAGCCTCTGCCCACGCAGTGGTACGTGGATGTTACGTGGATGATTAAAGGATGATAGCCTTTGCGTTAAGAATGGTAGCTTCTGAACTAAGAATGATAGCTTCTGAACTAAGAATGATAGCTCCTGAACTAAGGATGTTAGTGTTTGCGTTAAGGATGTAAGCGATTGCGTTAAGGACGTTAGCAAGTGAGAAATGGTATAGATTGCCCACCACCGGACAAACTGCCCCACTGCCTGAAGTCACCTGCTACCCTACACATCCTTACTGGCAGCCCCCAACTTACCTCATGCATCTACCCACCCCTGCTCCGATGATCCCCACCCCGCATCCCAAAGTTACAGCAATTATAACGGCTCTATTTCTCCAAACTAAAAACGGTGTACTGCTGGTCATTTGTTGGCCGGCAGCGCGGCAATTGCTCCAGCACTTATCACACAGACAACTCTTGCTTACATTTAAACGAATGCACAGAGCCTCCTACGCAAACTTCCGGAACTGCAATCTCGAGTTCCGTCAACGTCAGCGGACCCAATAGCCATAATGGAAACATGGCTGCCCGACGACATCACCGACTGTGAAATCCAACTTCCTCACATGTCCGTCATTCGCTCAGATCGTGCAAGCCCAGGTGGTGGTGTCGCAATGTATTACGGCACATCCTTCGGTTGCGCCAGCGTGGCAGACTCTGCTTTGCAGTCTCCTGACACCATGTAGTGCGAAGTCGTACTAACTGCCAAACATTCCTGCTGTCTTTGTATTATTTATGGCCCCATAAAATCTCCTCCGAGAATGACGCAAAACTCTTGCACGATATCCATTTCCTTCTATCCCTCAGATACACTCACCTTCTTATCACGGGAGACGTAAATCTACTCGGTCTATTTCGCGCCGTTCTAACGACTGGTGCCTTTGCGACAAGCTTCCTTGAGCTTCTTCACACGGTCCCGCAGTACAACCATATTTGCCAGCCAACGAGATTCCGAACCAACAATAAAGCATCTCTGTTGAACCTCATCCTCATCAAGGAAGAAGTGATGGTTCAGCACGTCAAATATGACGCCCCTTTGGGGCTCAGCGATCACTGCGTCCTCCGGTACGACTTTGTGTGCTTTGGTGAAAAGCCTTTCTGCATGCTGACTTACACGAAACACTGGACTGAGTACGAAAAGTTAAGCACTATCATTTCCGCAAAAAGTTGGTTACCGAAAGCTCACTTGAGTGGTGTAGTCAACGTACTGCACTATTCAACGCGAACTGGGCTCTTTAACCACGACCTGCAAACAGGTTTCCATAGGGAATCAACATTACACACCCGTCCGAAGTCGGACCCGGAAGTGCAGTGTCTACAGGGACACGGCATTGAGAACATATCGTTCCTGTCCAACAGCTACCCACTGGGAAGCCTACCGAGTTCTCCGTAACCACTGCGTCCAAGTCATAGGCGAAGATAAAAGTGAGTAGCAGCGGCAGATTGTGCGCAGATTTTCCACCAACCCCAAAGCCCTGTATAGTCACGTCAACCGCCTTCGGCAAGTCAAACACGGTGTCAGCGCGCTGACGACACCAACAGCGCTCACAAAATCAGTGAACAAAGTCGCAGAATTCTTGTGCAAACATTACGTAGCAGCTTTCTCCGTTCCATCAGTCCACACAATGACGCAACATTCTCTGTTATTAGCTTCATCGTCCTTGAAAACTGTTCAGTTCAATCCTGAGAAGGTCCTGGCGAAGCTTATATCCCTGCCAATAACAGCTATCCCAGGCGCAGAGGGTTTCCATCCAAGGCTCCTGCGCACATGCATTGTAGCGCTAGCTTTAGTTCTAGCGGAGTTGTTCACCCAGTACTTCTCGCACGATGAAGTCCCAAACGATTGGAAATGCGGTACAGTTACTCCAATCCACAGTAGGCACGCGTAAGGGCCCCGTCTACTACCGCCCAATAACACGCCACTTTACGCTTTCCAAAGTGATGGAATCGATCATCGCCGATATTTTAATGGACCACCTTGAGGCTCAAAAAGTGCTTTTCGACAGCCAGCACGGCTTCCGAAGTCAACGGTCAAGCCTGCTACTCGCACAGGATAGCTGGACGACTGCGGCAGACACAGACCTGGAAAC